CTGCATAAAACCCTGAGAGGTAGCTCTGATAGTACACAAAAAATACAATTTCAATTTCAATTGGCAGCCCTGTTAAAAAGGAGCCATGGAGATGGCAATCAGGCCTCCAGTAAAGCCGAGCACTGTGAGTGTGTGTGTGTGTGTGTGTGTGTGTGTGTGCCCGCTTATATCCCTCAACTATTTAATACCAAGCTTTTTGTTGCATCTGGTTAAACAGGCAGATGTCACTGATGTGCACTGTGTGTTGATGCGCTGTGTAATTTATTTGTGCGAGTGTGTATGTGCATGTGTACCTGCACGTGTGTGTGTGTGTTCCCCCATCACTTAGACCCTTTATTAAATGTGCCTGCCATTCTATCAAACAAAATATGAAGGCTCAATGACACGCTTGACAAGGTGTGGCAAGTACGCACACACATAATCACACACACAAACTGACACACTCATGTGTCAGAGTCATGCAGTGTCCTGTTTTCCCTGTGATCCCTCTCTTTACTGCTGCATGTGTGACAGATGTCAGGTTAACGTCTGAGAGACCGGGGACATCTACATGTTATTTATGTCCAGTACACAAGAAGGTAGACAAAAAACTGTTCTGTCAAGAGATAAAAAATGTTTAAATCTGAATAATCGAAGGATAGCTGTGTATTATCCACGATTAGGCACGGATCAGTTCAACAAAATGACAAAATAAACATTTCACAAGTTTTAAATCACAAATGATGAAATTTTTTAAATGTATATATTTTTTTAATATGTAAATATAAATTAGGCTTCATAGAGAATTTTAATCATTACTGTTACAGTATCTTCTAGGACGTGTCATAACTTTCTTTCAAATTAAGTTGTTGTCCTCAACAGTATTAACCAGTCTACATGCTGGGCATTAAGGTGGTATTTTAGGCTTGAGGTACTTCAGTGAACAGGACAACTCTGCGCATCGCCCCTTCATGTGTTAAAATTTGGTATATTTTGTGTTAATCTGTTTAATTTCACAAACTATTTCTTGCAGCTAATGCATAGAAAAAAATACCAAAAAAGACAATTCTGCTGTTCAGGTCACTCCAGAGAGTTTTATTTGGTAAACACAGCCTGTGGTGAAGGATGAAAGGGTTAAAGTTTCCCCACACACAGGGCAGCAGGTCTGAGAGGCAATGCATGGCTGATGAGAGCAGGGCTAATGTGCAGCTCTGTCAGCTGGAAATCAAATGACTGCCTCTGCATTTTAAGTTCCTTCGTCACCTCCATTGACCGACAAAATATATTAATCCCAACCACGTCAAGGGAAGATGAACGGAGGATGCTAAGGGCTGAAGAAAAGGGAAGGAGACGAGGAACCTGAAGACCTAATGGGATTATTAGAAACTTGAGCACCAGTGACAACTCGTTGGGCTGTTGACTCTGTAATTAATAGTCTGTTTGCTTGAGCTCAGAGGTTTGATAGAGTAAACGGTGAAGTGGAGTGAGCTGAAAGAGCAGAAAGACGAGGAGAGTTAGCTGGATATAGGAAAAGATTTAAATGGAAGGTGAGAGTAAATGAGTAAATGAGCTGTCCGTGGTGCTGAGACAGTCGCTAGCCAACCAGTGGCTCATTTTCACCTGTGGTCTTTCATATCTTGTATCCAGCTGTTGTATAAACTGTTTTACATTTGCTTTGGTAGTTGGAAATCAGATCAGTAATTATTGCAACTCACAAGGGTTAGTCATAATGTTCTAAGACGAACTATTGAAATAAAACTGTTTCTTTCCATCTCCAATATTTAAACCACTCTTTCAGTACTTTTCAGGAAGCGAAAGAAATGAATCTGATTGTTCTAGATCAGAACCTGTTGATGAGCTTCAATTGTTTGAACAGGTTTTCTTTTTATTTTCAGTAATAACATGATGTCAACTTTGATTTGAAAGATCAAATCAAAGGTAACACAGCTCAACACTTTACAAAGATATGATGATAAAACTAGTCGTAGCCGTTGGAGAGACAGAGACCAGTCTGACCTGGTTTTAGTCATTAACATCACCTGCAGAAATCAACATTAAAAAAAAAATCACTTTATTATAGCTGTTTTATGTCAGGTGGAAATATGATTTAAGCTTTATTTGAATGCCTGTGGTTTTTTAAAATAAAAGTAGTAATAGTAGTTAAAAATGTAGAGGTGTGTACCAGAAGGAAATCAAAGAAACCAAAGAGCTGGGATTAGAAGCAGGAAAGTGCAGACAGTGTGATGGATCCAGCATTTATCTTAAATTGGTCTGTATTGACTCTGCCAAGGCTCAGTGTAACACTCAAAGTTGTTTGTCCAATTTCACTTAATTAACCTCAGATAACTAATTGTGATTTCCTGGAAAAAACAGAACATTACTTTCTCTCTGTCTTTGCCCTACACTTGTCATTCTGTCAGAGCGTTGGTGCCTCTGGCTGGAGCTTCAAGGAGGCAGCCTTTATTTCTCTTGAATGGCCATATTATTAGTGAATAACGGTGTAACAGGAAACTCAACTCATGTTATTATTTTATCAAGATTTTTTTAAAACAAAATTACCTAAAAAAAAATATATATATATAATGGACATTTATCTTTAAGAACTGACTGCAGTTGTTATCATTATCCTAATAACTGACTACAAGAAAATGCACATTTCTTTACAGAAATGCTGCAAATCATCATTTATCTCCTCTTATTAAAAGATGATTAGCTATCAATACATTAAATACAAAAGAATATATAAAATAACTAACTAACTGGAGTATTAACAGGTGTATACTGCCACCTACTGTATTAGCATGTGTAGTGTCATGGTATGACCACTGACTTTTTGAGATAACGCAGCTAACGCCTTACGCCTTGATGCGCGATTCACTTTTTATTTCAACAGATGCAAATTGTCACGCATTCGTATTGATGTTCAACCCGATTCATAATGCATCGTTACATTCCTATAGGCCAGGCAAACAATGGCACATTATTGCCACCTAGAGGGCTGTAGCGTATGTAGTTGTGTTCTCCATCATGCTTATTATTTGTCTGTAATCATTAAGCGAATGAATGTGTTAAAATCCCAGCTCACTGTTACTAACCCTTCTGTTGATCAAATAAGTAGCTGTAGGAAGTGTAAGACAATTTAAATGTAGCTCTGGTTTGCATCATTTTTTCAATCAGATCAACTGAGTTGTGGGATTGTGAGAAAACGAATCATTGAACATTTACATTTGTTTGTCCGCCTTGATCCTCCATCACTAACTCCACCTCTCCTCTCCCTCTCTCCCTCGCTCCCTTCCTCCCTCACTCCTGTTGTTACCCATCCTCTAATGTGCTCCTGTGGTTGCAGTAAGCAGGCCACAGTGTCTTCTGAGGCCTTGTGCTACACCACCATTACTATCTGGCCTGACTCCACTACAAATTGGATGAACAGGCACTGACACATTTTCAATATTATTACATTAAACCAAGTGGATTTTGATTGATAACCTAATATTGGCCTAATGCAAAACATCAATCATGGCAAGTATATTAATTATTTAATATTGTGGCGTAATTCAGAAATCGATACAGCCTCAGCGCTGAAGGCCCAGGGTATGGAGGGAGAGAGGGAGGAGACGAGAGATAAGGAGGGAAGGAAAGCTCCGTCCCCGAAGACCTCTGCAAATTATATGATGTTTTGAAAAGAGATGAGGATGTAAAATGGTGTGTGGTGTGTCTAATGGAGAGAGCGTTCCCTTGGCCCTGGTGCGGCTGCTGCTGGACCGCTTGACCTTGATGAAGTTAGGACAACAAATAAAAGAGTGGCTGGTGAAATGCAGGAAGAGCTCAATAACAGTTTAATCACTAAATAAAAGACAGAGAAGAAGAGATGTGTTTGTGAAAAGGAGTAAAGCATGGAAAGGGAGGTGAAAATGAGCAGAAGAGGGTGGAGGAGGAGGGGGAGGAGGAGTAGGAGAGGAGTCTCCCCTGTGTTAGATTGTTTCTCACTAATTGCGCTTCATTAGTGGATTACACACACTGTCGCCACGGTAACAAATGTCTTGCTGTCTGGTTGCTGGGCGCCCGTCATGTATAATGAATGTGGCGGGGTGTTTGTCAGAATGTAATGTAATTACAGCTAGATGAAGTTTGCCTTAAGTGGTTGACTTGTCTGCATGTGGCTCAGTGACGGAGCGTAGAACCAGCAAATGAACGACATCACTCTTCACTTCTTCACTCTCTGGTGCAGGTTTCTCCTTTTTCTTAAAACAATGAAGTTTCAACTTCATACAGTAGTACTTTAGTAGTAGTACTTCACACTGCAGTACTTTGGGCAGTTTAAATGAAGTGGGCATGGAGCTCACAGTGGGTACGAGCTGACTGAAGGATGGATGGATGGATGGATGGATGGATGGATAGAGTGAGAGCCTTTTGGATTAGACAGTATGTAATTTTAGAGATGGTGTAGATTTACACTGTGATGCTGCTGGCTGCATCAGTCCACTGCCTGTCGATAAGCTTTTCTTCCTCTCAACACACACACATGCACACACACAACCAGATGAAGAGAGAAAGAGTGATACACCACGACCAGGGGGGAGTTGTCAGTATTTGGGGCCGAAGTTGGAGGAAGGGTGGTGGCTGCTGTTATCGGTCTGTTCATTTCCACTGCTTTGAATTCTAAATTCTTATTAATCTTTTCCTTTCTGCTTTCTCTGAAGGGCCAGACCTGTTTTTCAATGATTAATTAGTAAATGTTCACTTGACAATTTTCTGCTGCTAATTTTGATTTATCATTCATTCAAATTGTTAAATGAAAACAAATAGGAATTACCCTGTTTAATTATGATATTATTTTTCTTAACAAATGAATAAATTCTGGCATCACAATAAAAATGTGCTTTCAATAAATGTAACAGTACTTATTTTCAGTGCTACACAGTCGAGTGTTAAAGTGTAGCTGGACCGTATTTTGTATTATATACAATACATTTCTATCATCACTGTATTTACAACTGATTTAATGTGTTGTTGTGTTGCTGGAATGCTGAGAACATCAGAAGCAAATTAGAACATCTGGTAAGTTCTATTCAACACCCCTTTTTATTCAATGCACACAGACACACTTTGATATCTGCACTCCTAATGAAACCTGCAGAATTGAAGCCTACAGCTAACAGGTATGAGGGGTGTAGGGTGGGGGTGGAGGATGAGTGGAGAAAACCTCCTCCTGGGGCAGGTTTGACTTTTCTACCACTGTTTGATTCTACCTCAGTTTTTCCCTAACGCACACACAGGTTTGTTCACTGTTCTCCTATTTATCTGTTTGCTCCTGGATATATGAGACGAGACCTTTGCCACCTCTCAGACATAACTCCCTGATCACACCCCTCCTCCCTCTCCGCCTGTCAGTGTGGGGCTGTTGCTCCTTCTTTTCCCATCCTTGAATCCATGCCCTGCTGAAAACTCTCTACTGGGACGGTGTTGAAAATTTAATTGCTGACGTTTCCCGGGTTTTCTCTTGGTGCTTTGCTTTAATATGGGGTCAGAGTACTGTGCGGCGCGATGAAGAGGTTCTCTCTTCTCTTTTTGGGTGGGATGGAACCAAGGTTGGATGTGCCCCATATTCCAGGGGATGAATTATAGACAGGGGTCAGCGAGGGTCCCCGCTCTCTGTGGATGTCACTCGCCCTCCCTCCTTTGCCTCGCTGCATACTAAACTGCAGGTCCCAGCACCCTACGCAAATGACCTGCACCGCCCCTTCACGTGCTGCTCAAATGACCCTGAATATGCCACATAAATGTCTGACCCCGAAACTGAGTGTCACTCACTTCAACTCTCAAGAAAGAGATGACTGGGATCTGATGTTGTCGAACTGCCACAACCATTTTCTTTAATCAAGTACAATAAACAACACTTTAATTGATTTTATGATGTATTTATTTTAAAGGTTTGGATCATATTTTATTTTTTAAATGAGATCGCCCATGCGCTGGTTTAATCCCCAATCTTCTGTTTTCCAGGTACCACAGTTAACCCAATTGTTCACTCCACTGTAAATATAGTTGTGAATGTGAGTGTGAATGGTTGTTAATGGTCTCTACATGTGACCTTGTGAGAGGCTGGAGGTGAGCGCTGTGATTGGCTACAGCTCCCGCTAGCTAAATAGGTAAATCATTAAGGTAAATGATCCCAAGTTGTGGAAAGATTGGAACTGATTAAAATCTCAGGTCTAATGCACTGCTAACCCTAAATATAAAACCTGAGTCAGTGATGCCGTAGTTTGGCTTTGGAGACGTCTGCAGGTGGGCTGTGAGGTGTGATGGATGTTCTCCTCCATGACCCAGGGCTGTGCATTATTCAAGACAGGGTTACATACACAAACTACAGTAATCAATATGTGAATGGACAGTTAGATCTTAGCCAACATTAGAGGCCTGGTGTCTCTCTGTTGAAGGCCAGTCGAACTATGTCAACAAACCTTTTAATGCAGACAAATGCGTCCATCTGAGCTGTGTGAGAGAAGTCGCCAATAAGTGCACTGACTTCACACAATCAATACTTCGCCCCGTGGTATGAGTGTGTCTCTCAAATATTTTGCATTTATTTAAGTTGTGGAAAGGAATAAAAAGAGAAGAGAGAACATCACCAACATCGCCTTCCTTTACTGGCTCCTGGTTTATGGGAGGATCAAGTATAAAATTATTTTATATGATCTGCTGTGAAGACAAGAATTTCCCAAGTGTGGGATCAGTAATGTTCAAATTATTATTATTATTATTATTATTATTATTATTATTATTATTATTATGGTCATTATAGGTTTTGTTAATAATTAACTTTGTGAGATGTTGAGTCAAAACCTCTGGAGACAGATTTGTGTGCGCATTTTTTAATCTTATCTAAGCTACTGTTGTGCATTCTGTATTGCTCAGAACAGAAATGTTTGTTTCATTGATAAACTATGTTCCACAGAATATTCTTTAATACCACACTGTATTTTATGGGTGTGTTTATGCTAACGGGAGATTACCCCACAGTCGTCAGCTGCCTGGGGAGGACAAGATCCTAATTACAATTCAGGACAGGCATGTGTAAATAATAGAGCCCGTCCCCCCCTCCGAGGGACGGGGGTGTATCGCTCCCCTCTTTACTTCACATGTAATTCTGCATATTTCTATCTGTTATGTATTTACTCTCTTTTATTGTACTATGAAGGATTAGTGCTTGTACCTGTTCTCAGTCGGGATCAATCTTTATTCAACTACTGATAATGACGTGCTAATCTAAAGTTAGCCTGAGAGCAGCAGTTGTATTCTGTTTGTTCAGTCATCTTCCATATCTTCTTGCTGATTCTGCAAACAAGCTTATTAATTCACGCCAACATCCCTGCCTTCTGTTAAGGTAATCATAAGGATGATTGATTGGTGAGATAATTAGTGAGGTAAATAAGATTTGTGTGGTCGAGGGTTGTTCTGTGGTTGGTGCGTGTTTTGTTTTTGTATTTCCAGCAGATTGAGTCTCACAGATCAGTTATGATTCAGAGGGAAAGACTGAAGTTAATTGCTCCCACTGCTATGCAGTTGTACATATGTGCTCACACACTTACACACACACACACTCAGGCACCTCAGTTTGCACTGAAGGATGCCCTGCTCTGGGAGGACTGGAGTGAACGGGGTGGCCTACAGCAGACAGTCAGTCCAGAGGCAGCTCTTCTTAGAGAGAGGCAGAAGAAAGACAACAGCTCAATCAATAGCAGAGGAATCAGCCTCATCAGGGTTATTCATCAACCGGCAGCTGTAGTCATCACTCTATCACACACACATGCACACACAGTCTTATATACACACTGTCTAGGGACGGAAAGAACAAGAAGAAAAGGGTGCGAAAGGGGCCTAAACGGGAGATCCTCCACATTTGTTTGGTGATGAGATTTTGGTCTGGTGTTGCAGATTAAGATCACGAGTAACAGCAGTGAAGTCCAGAAGTTTGACTGCAGTTATGAGACACAGTGTAAATTGTTAAGAGAAAAATATGCACATTTACTGTGAAGCTAAACAGACACGGGTGTCAGCAACAACCTGCTGGCGTGATGTGATCAGAAAAAGAAACGAGGACCCCCGTTGTCTGATATGTTTTGTGAGATCGTGGTTTCCTCATTTTTGCTTTTGGATTTTAAGAATTTTATTTTTGGTGCATCACTAATGATGAAAGTGAATTTCTTAACAATAACATTTGGTCCTGCATTTTCTTTATTTCTAATTCTTGCTCAGGCTTTGTTTAAATGCAGATAAAAGTATTTTCTTTTAAGTGTGTCACTGATGACTAAAACTGGCGTCCTTCCTCAGGGCCGACTGATGTGGTCTCAGTGTCCCTGGGTGAGTTGAAAAGTTTAAGGGGGAGAGCAGCTCAGTGGACTGACTGACAGACGTGAACTAACAGCTGTGGTCTGGACAAAACTCATCAGAGGGAAGCTCTGTGGTGTAAAATGAAGGGGAGAGTTTAAAGTTCACAGAAGGATAATTGGTTCTGGTATTTATTTTAATTTGTCTTCATCGTCCTACCTTGGTATTATTGGGTAACAAACACGTAGTTATTGTAGCTGCATAGCTGCATTAATTTTGCGCGTATTTTTTGTAAAAGATGATGGTGCAAACATTAGTGAGAACAGAGCTGATCATCTGCAAACAGAATTCCTTATTACATTAATGATTTCATCAAATATGATGGGGTGTTGCTGGGGGATGGGAAACATAGATGGAGTGGGAGTGGGGGTCGGGACGGGGTGTCTTTCTCTCTTGCCCTCCCTCTTTTTTCCTCAGTCTCATCTTGACAGCAGAGTTAAATGATGGAGTAATTTGAGTGACCTCTGACATGGGGCAGTCCCAGGCGTAATTGCATGTCATTCTAGCACAGTGTGGGGTGGGATGCGGAGGTAAGCGGGTGGTGGTGGGGCGGTCCACACCCACAAATACAAAGTGTTTCTCAATTTCTTGCATATTTCTTGATTTTCCGCACCTCCTTCTTATTTGCCCCCACCCCTGTAGCCTGTCTCTCTGTGTCTCACTTCTCAAGTGACCCCCCCAAAAAACCCACCCCCCCAAACAAAAGAAAGATTGCATTAATTTTCAAATGATGATATTACATTAAGCGCAGAGATCTCATACATCAAAACGAGAGAACTACTCCCTTACTGTATGTGCTTCATCTTAATGCTATCGCTGGATGTCAAGGGCATGGAGGAAATTAAATCGGAAAGTGCAGATAGACCAAAGAAGATATTATCTCTGGATGATTGCAGTTTTGATAGGTATTCCAGTGAATTTCATTTTCTCCGGATGGGGAGAAGATGAGTTAGCCTGCACATTTGCTCATTTTTCTTCTACATGATTTATGTGAGTTGAGTATAAAACTCCCTCCCCCCTCCCCCTGCCTACTCCTCTCACCCTCCCCCCCTCCCCGTTTATCAGAAATACATACATGCATGCGCGTCCGCACATATGCACACGGGGAAGTAAATTACTGCCTTTGAGTTGTATCTCGACCGGGGCAGTTTACGTGAGTGCGGCACTGTGCCGACTCGTTGCAGCGGGTGAGATTGTTGTGTATTTGCATGCACGTGCATGTTTCAGTCTGTGTGTGTGTCTGTACGAACACACGCGCCTGAGATAGCGGCAGAGCCATCAGCGGGAATGATTCCAGGGAGACGGGGGAGTGTCATTACTCAGACTTGTTTACATTCTAAATACGTAATGAAATCTTGTTGGTAATAATGACGGGAATAAAAGTTTGGGAAATTGTAAAAGTGGTGAAGTTTGAGAAATGAGCCCCGGCCTGTGAAATAGCATTTGGGGGCAGGAAACGACATTATTATGCAGTGCTCCTGCCTGCCTCAGACATGAAGATGAACTGCTGGCGGGCCATAAAATGCTGTTAGTCCTAGCCTGAAGTATGGCACATTGTAAAAGAGCCCTGATCCCATATTGCCATTATATATAAAAGTATAGCCATACACAACATTATTTTTCATATAAGATGAGCTTGGATGCAGTGGCCCAGGCCTCCCAAATACATA